TGTTCATGTTTATGTTCATAAACTTTTTATTTAATAAAATATGTTTTCATAGTTTGTGTTGTCCCTTATTATCAATGCAAAATGGTCACTAACTAAAGAGGATTTATGCTGATATTGCCCAAAAACCCTATTTTGTTCAGGCGTTTCCAAACTTTTGGAGGGCAGTGTACATGTTTCTATATTCACAAACCTCAGGTTTAAATTAATACTTCAACCCCATTCCCAGAGTCAAAAATCTCTGGACAAAATACTGGCTAATGATGTAAATGTCCTGTCCAGGCTCAAAGAATCAGAAGCATGTGCTGCGTCCGGAGTCTCTGGAGGGAACGGATGAGGAGGATCCGGTCACTGCGCTGGAGTGGGACCCTCTGAGCACAGACTACCTGCTGGTGGCTAACATGCACAACGGCATCAGGCTGCTCGACTCTGACTCGCTGGCGTGTGTGACGGCGTTCAGTTTACCGAGCGCGGCCGCGTCCGTACAGTGCCTGGCGTGGGTGCCTACTGCCCCGGGCATGTTCATTACAGGGGGTGAGACAGAAACACAGCTGTATACACACACACACACACACACACACACACACACACACACAAAACACTAGTGATTTCTCAGCACATGCGTAAAGACACATCACTGCAAACACTCGCTACACAGTTGCTAATATTTAACACAATCTTTATGGTTTATGTGTGTTTGCTTCTAAGAAACTCACATCTTGCACATCGGTTCTTCTTATTTATTACATTTTTGCCCAAATATTTATTGCCCATTATACACCACCTTAATGATTAATCTGTCATACAAATCCCTGGGGAAGTAACAATAACGCATTAGAACGAGTGCATTAATATAAACCTGTGATTTGTAGCTGCACTACGGTCAGAGTTGCTGTTATAGGAAATTAATCAACACCTTCTGACCAATCAGAACCTGACTAGCCATCAGGGTTTATAAATTGGTTTAGCTTATAGGCTGCCGAATAGCTAATGATAGCTAGCAAGTTACCATTCGGTAGCTAGCCAAGAGTAATCATGGAACAAATTCTGGTGATTTGAGAACTCCATGATAATGGTTTATCAAAATAGTAAAAAATAACAACGGTTAGTTATGAGACAAGCCGTCCATGTAGACTGAGCAATGTTTTTTTTAAAAAAAACTTGTTCAGTAAACAGAGTTATGACTGGACTGCCTCCTTCATTACTGTGAGTGACACTTTTCCAAAATAACCATCAGTTCTGCCAACTTTTATTTTATTTTGCTGTGTGTGAAGACTCTCAGGTTGGCGTGTTGAGAGTGTGGAACGTTTCGAGAACGACGCCGCTGGACAATTTCAAACTGAAGAAGACGGGATTCCACGCGCTCCACGTGTTAAACTCGCCTCCAGCAAAGAAAGGTCTGATTTACCTGCTATCATATGGTAGAAGTTGAAATGATTGTGTGGTATTTTACATCTTTTAAGACATTTTAGCAGGTAATGCGATTTGTACGGTATGCTAACGTGCATGTGATGCGTGTTGCATTAGTGTAAAGCCTGGACTACACTTGCTTTTAACTCTGTGTATACAAGATGGCTGCTGCACGTATCCTGTGGTCGTTTGGAGTGATTCTTGTCCACATCCTCAGAGATTAATGCTACGCATCCATGTGGTGCCATTTCCGCTGCTTCTGCTGCCACTGTGTTTTTACAGTAGGCATGCAACTCCAGCAGTTAGCATTAGCTTTGCACTAACATGCTGCTAAAAATCCTAATTGTAGGAATTAGCAGGAATTAGCATCATTATAGTGGCAGTACTAGACAAATAACCTTTTCATAAAAGCCTATTTATAGACAGTTTATTTACAGATTTGGACTGTATTTAGTGTAAGAAAATAACACAAATCGGATCTATGGCAACTCTAACTTAATTGTATAGTCTAGTTAGGTTTTTGTCCTGTTACAGTTGCCATACAAATTGGGTAAAACTGAAGTGTTTATATGGAGTATGGTGATCAGGCTGGTAAAGGAGTTGAAGCAGGAAAGCACAGGATTCCTGAGTGAGTCGTACAGTATCTGAGTAAGAGGATTTTGCATTCTGACTCATCTCTGTCTCTACATCTCAAGTTGCCAGCTCAATTTCCCCGTCCAAGAACCACTACACGTCATCTACGAGCGAGGCCGTTCCTCCTCCGACTCTGTCGCAGAACCAGGCGTTCTCTCTGCCACCCGGACACGCCGTCTGCTGCTTCATGGACGGAGGAGTCGGCCTCTACGACATGGGGGCCAAGAAGTGGGACTTCCTCCGAGATTTGGTGAGAACGGAAGATAATAAGTAATGCAAATCAATTCCTGATTTTCCAAAGACACTTTAACCTGTCGGGGTTATAGAACTATGTGTACATGTGTCATTTTTAGGGTCACGTAGAAACCATATTTGACTGTAAGTTTAAGCCAGATGACCCGAACCTGCTCGCTACGGCCTCCTTTGATGGGACAATCAAAGTGTGGGACATTAACACTTTAACGGCAGTGTACACATCTCCCGGCAATGAGGGAGTCATCTACTCGCTCTCCTGGGCTCCTGGTGAGATACATCATCTGTAAATCTATAACTAACCATTATAATATGTTCATAATCAGGGGATTTGTTTACTCAAATCTTATCATCTTTTTTTTAATAGATTTTTATGTTATGACTTCTACATTATTGATTCAGTACAAAAACATTTTAGATTTCCAAACACTATATATATATACATATATATATAAAATGTTTTTACAAATTTATATTTAACGTTATGACAAATTACACAGGTAAAGAATTTTCCAAAAATAAATATAAAATCAGATTTTGTAGTAATTAGTATCTCACAATATTATTATTATTATTATTATTATTATTATTATTATTATTATTATTATTATTATTATGTTAGCACTGCTAATTGTTTAATTTCTGTCATTTTTCATATTTCAAAACACAGTAAAGTATCATCCAGATTTTTTTTACAAAGTATTTGTAAGAACCTGTTGTTATGACAGCTAGACATCTGTGTAGAGTTTGTATTTAGTCTATAATTATTATATTTGTTTATTCCATACTGCTACCCAAAGGAGACCTGAACTGCATAGCAGGAGCCACGTCCAGGAACGGAGCGTTCATCTGGGACGTGAAAAAGGGCAAAATGATCACAAGATTTAATGAGGTACGGAAAGAACACCATAATGTGGCGTATGTGGCGTTTGAAACCACCAGGCAGTGACTACATATGATAAGGCTTATAGATTTATATATGATGTGATAGAGTGCTGTTTGATATTGTGAAAATGAAGTCCACAGAAGGAACCAGGGTCAGAAGCCACGCTCCCTCAGCTGAGACTAGTACACACTGATGCCCAGCTGTATAACCCTATTGTGCTTGTGTGTGTGTGTGTGTGTGTGTGTGTTTGCAGCATGGGAAGAACGGTATCTTCTGCATTGCATGGAGTCACAAAGATTCCAAACGTATCGCCACGTGCAGTGGAGACGGGTTCTGGTAAATTTCTGATTTTGCGATTTTAACATCATTAGAACATTATCGAGTGTATGAGATTTCTTCATCGCTCTGTTTTTATTATTTACTGGTTTCAGTATCATCAGAACCATTGATGGTAAAGTGCTGCATAAATATAAGCACCCTGCAGCCGTGTTCGGGTGTGACTGGAGTCAGAATAACAAGTGAGTATCTCTCTGTCTGTCCATCTGCCTGTCTGTCTGATGTTCACCAACATCCATTCTTTTCTGTCATGAAAGCGGAACAATAAAATAAAACACCCTTTTGCTCAAAATCAGTGATAAAACGTCATTATATTTTCATTAATCAATAAAAACAAGACAGAAATGTCAGAAACAGCAAATGCTATCTTGTTGTTTAGTTCTGTAGAAATCCATCTAGCAAGTTATGTGTCTCTGTGACAAAACGGGACCACAGGAGGGCTGAACACAGACACCAGGAGGCAGGGTTGTGGGGAACATGTTCTTTATTATTCAAGTGAGGTGGCTGGTGCACTGTGATGAGATTGATGTTGTCCCGGAGCTGAGCGCAGCGAGCTGACAGTAGTGGTGTGGCGGCAGGATGGAGAGGGGACGGCGGTCGCTCTCACGCAGGGCTGAGGTCAGCGTGCAGAGGCTGGTGCTCTTCTTCCTCGCTGACGTCTGCTTCTTGGAAAGAAAGAGAGACAGACATTAGTTGGGTGGTTAACCTCACCTACTTCAATTCAATTCAATTCAATTCAATTTTATTTGTATAGCGCTTTTAACAATGGACATTGTCACAAAGCAGCTTTACAGAAATAAATGGATTCACAAAAAATATATTGTAAATATGTGAATTTATCCCTGTGAATTTATCCTTAATGAGCGAGCCAGTGGCGACGGTGGCGAGGAAAAGCTCCCTGAGATGATATGAGGAAGAAACCTTGAGAGGAACCAGGCTCGAAAGGGAACCCATCCTCATCTGGGTGCAACAGATAGTGAAATTATAAATAAATCCCTTCTATTATTGTGTACTATATGGACAAATAGTGCAAATGTGCAACCAGTAAATTCAACACAGTTTTTTCAAGAAGTCCGGTTGGTTAAAATC